GGCAAAGTCCAAGATGCATGCCTGTAAATACATTCTGGCCCGAATTGCCCTTGCAATCCAACTTAACAGGAATTACATGTACATGGGCCCTAAGACTGGGAATGAATCAGTTAGGTATTTCAAAAGGGTCATTTTATAAATTTATCTAACATATAATTTGGTAAGAATAGAACACATTCATTGATTTCCGAGAGTGTCTTAGTGTGCAAATTATTGCCCAAACAAATAAAAATAGTTTGAAATCGATTTTATTGATATCTTTTGTCAAATTACACAGATTATGTGTAGCAAGGGCAGGAAACTGTGTCACTTGTCGGACCTCAAATTTATTGAAAAACTAAAAAAAAAGTAAAAAAGGCTAAGTCATTCAAGAACAATGCACCTAACGTCACACCAGGTTAAACATATTAAGTACATGAAAGTTAACGCAGATGTTGTGTTTCTGGAACGACCTATGACCTGCTGCGTTTTGGGTGGCACTGTTGAAATGCTGAAGTGGCTCATTCTGGATGTTCACAGCTTATTAATACTTGGTAGTAACATGGTCACGTTATACCTTTTGCACCTACGTGTACATGTACACATGTTCACGTTCCGTTATATGGAATCCATGTTTCAGATGTCACTGCACATTTGCTCTTTATTGGACCTCATGGCGTGTCAGTGCAGTGCGTTTTTTGTTTTTTTTAAAACCTTTTTCTACATCAGATAGCTGTAAACATTAATGTACAAAGATACAGCACAAAGAATGGCAACATGAGGGGTAGAAAACCCTTCAACTAAAGATAAAACAAAACTGTGCAAGTGTATCTAAAGTAAGCCCAAAACCTTGACTTCAGATCAGCTCAAATTGGTAGCTCAAATTGTAACAGCTTTATAGAAACTGGCTCCTTGCCAGGATCTGTGGTTAAAAGTAAGTTTAAGTACAGTAATGAATTTTATAATTGTATTCTAGTAGTTTATTTTTTTTTTTAGATATTATTAAGTACATGTAGGAATTTGACATCGAAGGACCTTGTCTGTTGAGCTGTGATTGGATGGTTCTCAGTTGTCATTTTCCTATTTCTGTATGTCTATTTATGTTGCAATATGTACAGGAAAAATCTCTGTAAATAGAACTCCTTGCATCTAAAGTCATTCATCAATCAAGGGTGCTCTGGGGAAAACAATCAAAGGAGTGGCTATGCTAGACTTAATTTTTTCTTCATGATTTTCATTAGTTTTTTTGTATATGACTAAGTGTCGTTTATAAAAAATCTGAATTTTAGAAGTTCATTCAGAAATTGGTCTGGGACAGTTGTACATACGCATGTATACTCTAGAAAAACTGAGTAGATTTGTCATGAAATGAATCCAAGTAACCAACAATACAGTTGAGTTGCTTAACCTGGAATTAATTTCAGTTCTTTCTGTTTCTCAGCAGCTAGAACTGTTCTGTACCAGTTTTGTCGGCAAAATGTTGGATTTGTGGAGCTGGCTTTCAAACACATGTAAAGTGATAGAACCTCTGTAAGTTTTCCATCATGCTGTCTTACTCAGGCAAGCAACTTTTCCTTGGATTAGCTGATTTCCTCATTTTTCACTTCGAACTCACGCCATTGAATATGGAAAAACACTGTACAGAGTCTTGTAAAGATTGGAACTTCCCCATTTTTGTCAAAGTCCAAGTTGCATGCCTGCATATTAAGAAGCTTGAACCATACGTCAGTGGTGGTCACCGTTGGTTTTGGGTGTAATTTAGGGTGCTGCTCATTCATGAAGATTACATCGTTAACAGTGGCACGATTTCATTTGCACTACATTTTATTGCAGTTTTGCATGGGTATTTTAAATGTACGAATTGCAGTGTTCAACTGCAGAGTGCATTGTTTTTAGCAGTGGCTGTTTGAGATCAAAATATCCTGTACAAATGAGTTGAAACTTTTGACTATAAAAACTTACCTTTTGCTGGCATTATTGTTCCAAGGTTGTAACAACCAAAGAAGTTTATAAAGTTAAAATGTAACACACATTTTTCACCAGAGCAGTTCAATGTCCCTAGCTGTTCTCTCCTAAAATATTCGGTGCCAAAAATTGTTTTGCCTTGAATCGGTGCCTCGGTAATTTGCTCCTGATTTCAAAATTTGAAATTGCAAATGTGAATTCACTGATATATATCTTGAATATTGATAGTACTTTATGTATTTATATTTTCAGCTGGATTTAGAATAAATAAAAATGGTTAACTTTGGGACAACAGAGTTGCACTGTGACCTAGAAGTATGCATGTTCAATGTGTTTCTCCTGAGACCCTGACAGACTGTTAGAACTGGCGACCAAGCAGCAGACGAGGGTGGTTCAAGGGTTGAAGCCCTTTTGAAGATGTGGGCAAACACATAATAGCTACATCAATGGATTACCATTGATTGGGGGGGAGTCGGATTGTGGGTCTGTCAAGGGCACAGTCAGAATCAAAACCAATTTTTTTGGGGGGGGGCAAACATATCGAAATTTTGTGTAACCTCTCGTGACCTTCATGAGATGTGTCTAAAATTTGGGACTTTTTAAATAGCAATGGGAAGAAAGTGAAATAATCTCCAAAATATCACCCTTCTCATTTTTAAAAAACAAATTGCAGGGGGAGGGAGGAACCATGGGGCCTCATGCACCCCCGAAGGTATGTACGCCTCCAAACATTTAAACGGGCAAATCTTTGTCAAATCCAAAACTCGAGTAACTTTTGCTTTTACGTACATGTGCTGTAAGAAGAAAAATCCCAGAGGGCTGTTACCTTTTTCCTTGAAAGGAAATATGTAATTCTGAAATGCTACAGTAATAATGCAGCCTTGTATCGGCAAAAAGTCAGTTTTGTACCAAATTTCACTAAGCGAGGTTTTGCAACTACAGGTGAATCTCGCTCTCACTGTGAAATATTCCCAAACAACATGTTCCAAATAATCCAAGCACCCGAGGCCATTGCGGCATCGATGTTGTACTAGCAGGCAGGAGTAAGGTGTTCAAACCTCTAGGCAGAATGCACACGCATCTAAAGTATACATAAAATGTGTGGCCTGTGCAGGGACACAGAATCTATAAAATCTTTCAAAGGACTTTAACTGCTGAACCTAGATCTTTTATGTACCACCACTATGGAAAACTTTTCACTCCAGTAAGAAGTACCCAATCACTGACATGAAAGAGACAGGCTAGTGGGAAAAATTTTACTTGGCACCAGGCAAAAATACAAGGACTGTGTGTCCAGTGCCAAGTACCATAGGCCTGTGCACACATGCATGGTTTACCCAAATAAGGGTACTGTTCCTGTACAAAAACACACCATATCTTGTTCCTCCATAGCATAAAAGGAAATCTTTTCCTGATCAAGAAAGCAAGAAAGTAACTTAATCAATGCACGAACAAACACCACAGTAATTTCATTCATGAAAATGACCACCTTTAATTGGCAGTTGTATAGGTACCACCAAATATGCAGAATATTTGCTGGGAAGCTTGCTTGATAATTAATTATTGTTCATTTCATTAGAAGCTAAATGGCACAGAAATGTCACCTGTATATCCTGCAAAAATATATCAAAGGGTTTTAATACTACTTTGAACCAACTACCATGATTCTCCTCAGAAAGTAGACTTGAAATTGAAGACCTAGAAGCACACTGTGAACGCTAAACAAGCAAAAACGATTCTTGTGAAAGTAGCAGAAGTATATTACACTAAAAGTAGTGTATAGGAAATAAATGCACACATTCTAAATTCTGCCTTTGGCTAGCATTAACAACTGTATGATTTCCTCATGTTCTTGTTCAGATCCCTGGATCTATTAAAATCCAACACTGCGGGAGCCAATAGTGCACTTATTACACTCAAAACTGGGACACTATCAAGCCCACAGTACAAGTAATGGGGGTTAGGTCCTGCATAATCTTGACCGAGGACGTTACTATCTGAGGTTGATGTTATATTGTTAATCAAGCATATCAACGTAGCCCCCCCCCAAAAAAAACCCATTAACAAAGGGCGTAATTTACAGGAAGTTTGATAGTCTTCGTTCAAGTCAAGATATGAATTGGAAGGAATCCATACTAAGTTGCTAAACACAATCATTTACAGAATCGATTGCACAGTGGAATCGATAAAAATTAAAATCCAAGACACATAGGCTTATATATTTCTGCGAGAGGAAACAAAGGAGGGAAATAAGAACAGTAGGAAGATTTAGGAATCCAGACTAGTTCCAGTGAAGTAACAAACTCACAAATACTGTAGAAGCAAGGGCACAGATTGAGTCAAGATGGTTTGATGTGAGTTGGATTGAAGTTACATCAACATGAACAAAACTCACTAAACAGGGCTTCAATTTTCATCAATTCAACACAATAAAAATTAGTGAACTCAAGACAAAATACTTAACAGAAATTCTTCCAATGACAAGTGCACATACATACACATTCAAGCAAAACTGCTTGATACTCATTGGCAAAATGCCATTGAATCAAACTCAAAATTTGAAGAACGTTTCTCGAAATAATCCCAGCAATAAAATAAAATTGAATCTGAATAATACCGGAACCTGTCACAAAATTTGGATGTTTATATCACAGTACCTTTCCTTGCACAACCAGCAAGCTGAAAAAACACATATGAAACTCGCATTGACATTTCCAGTTTGTAATTTTAAATTTAGTTTTTTACAATACTTATTCAGATATTATCAAGTCATATGTACAAATGTCAATCATCTTTTTGCCAGTACGAAAATCAAGGCAGCATAAATACTATTGTTTTTGGTTGAGGCTCGGAAATTTTTGAGTGGCTCAAAAATTAAAAGTGGCATGCTGACAGCATCAACATGAGATTCCCTTTAATTCTCCACAATGATCAAGAAGTTAAGAGACCATTCAGGGGTACAGTGACGAAAGATTTGCTGCTTTGCGTATGTTGATTCCAGCACAAGTCTGCCCAGAGTCAATCACCAGATAATGCCCACATCCAGTCACGGGTAAACATGCAGGACCATGGTGAAGTAATGCCCCTTTAAACACTCCAGTTGAGCAGCTTGAAATGAGACTATGACTTGCAATTGATTTATGGTGATTTGTGATGAACTCTATTACTGGCATGGCTGGGCAGTTTTAGCCAGAATATGGCGACTCAAAGAAGAGTAAGAACGTCTATCGAGCCCAAAATCTAGTGCCTTTCTAAAGAATTAATGGCAGTCTAGGCCTGTGTGTGTGCAGGTGGTAATAGGCACATGAAATCCATCAAGGTTTATTATGTTAATAGACAGCACATTTAAGGGTGCACTGACAGAGATCAAGGTGGCTCTGCCTCTGGGAGGAACAGAATGCGTTACTGAGAAAAAGTCTAAAAATATCATTCTGAGAACCGTGACGCCCAACGCAGACAAGGCGTGTGCTAATTGCTCAGTGTCTGGGCAACATTTTCAATGTACTTCCCATTAAAAGCAATTTTGTTGCTCCAGCATCTTTCCTGGTTCAGAATCAATCGACAAAACCAAGGACCAGAGATTGCTTCCATAGCAACTTATCTTTTGGTTCAGCCTAGGTCAGAACTCTATCAGCTGCCTACCTAGTCCATTATTCAACTACTTGCAAAACTACAACTAAAATATACAAATAATTCATACCCCTAAAGAAAAACCAAATCAAACTTTACTTTCGTGTGCTTGATGCTAAGAGATGCCCCTCCCTTTACTTCATGGATTCCATTCATCCCTCCCTGTACTGTATGGCTTCTACCTATTCCTCATCACTTCCCTCATCGTCGGTGGTGTAGTCAGAGACATCACTGTCTCCTTCCTCCTCTTTCTCTTCATCGTCTGAGATGTCCCACTGGGGATGGGTCTCCTCCATCTTCTTGGCCTCCTGCACATCAACCTATGGAGGAAATTCCAAAGGAGGGACTGGATTAGGAAAAGAGAAAGCTCTCTAAAAAATTGATACAAGGTTTGTCCAAATACTAGCGGGTGTTGAGCTCTAACGGGGGTTAACCATATCAAGCATGTTCCTCCCTCTCCAGTTGTTGGTTGCCACTAATTAGCAGCCACGATGAAGAAATTGAATAAACACCGGCCTCATTATTGGAGCGACCACGGTAAAATCATTGTTGCAAGATCTTCTTGTCATTCATACTTTTTTGGTGGTAGCTTTTCTCATGCGTTTGCAGCAGGGCCATCTTGAGCAGCTTTTCTCATGTCAACAGCTCCCTGACTCCAACTTATTCAATGTAAACTGTTACATGGGATAGTGCCAGACTCATTCAGGTTCCATGCCTCACCTTCACATTTAACAATGTGGCTTCATCCATTTAGATTTCATTTGTCACAATTTTTGTCAATTATTCATCAGTACAGATGACAGTAATTTGTAATGAACTACACTGCTTCCATTTCTATTCCCAGGATCCCAAACCAAAACGTTAACCTCACTTTTGACTCAACATGGCCGACTTGTGAATAGGGCCACAATTTTTCTCTCAGTGCCTAATTAAGAGTAAGGCTACTGTGGATGCAAACATTGGAGCTGTGTTCCGTGGTTTGGTCCCAAACAGTTGACTTGGGTAGTCCAACCCTCCTCTACTTCAGTCAAGTTTAACGATGGTCAACTCCAGGTCATACCTGAACTGACTGCAAAGACATTACACAGTTCATAGCATTGCATTCCACACTCATCTTCAAAATTGATATCCCTCTGTGCTTAAGTGTCCATTTCCCACATGCTTGACACTTAAGGTGCTCCATAATTTCTACCCTTGCTCATCACACCGACAAAGAATTCCTAAGATCTCCGTACCTGAAGAACGGCACAATGCCATTTCAGGTCAGGTGGCTTGTGCAGAAAGTATTGACCAACTCGGCCTTCACTGGCAGTAGCCCAAAAATGCACTCCAGAGTAAATAAATTTGGTCAAGTGGAACTTTTGTCCTGTAACATGCCAACGAGAAGTTTATGACGATGCCCACTAAAAAATTTTACCTTGACTGTTTTGATGTAATCTACATCAAGATAACAGTCGGAACGTACGCATAGTTGGTACTGATATCGACCTTTACGGGGTGCTGGGAATTTCAACTCCACCTGCACAAACAACAAGAAAAGATGAAGCGTATAATTCAAAGAAATTCAAGGATTCCAAGAGCCAATTTGCTATCCGGTAGGGAGTTCATCTCCATGCTGCAACTTCACACAGAAAAATATCTTACAAGTCAAAACCAAGTTTAACTTTTCAAGTCAGAAGAGGGTGTATCCAATGAAGTCATTATCTTACATCTTTCTCATCCACTAGATCATAGACCATCTGAGGCGGTGTGATGATGTGATGTGTCTTCCTGTCAGCAAGATAAATCCACCACCACTCCTGCTTCACCTGCATAATTACCCAAACAGAGCAGTAAAGAACATATTTATTTTGGTTCTACCCTTTATCCCTTGAATGTGTCGCATGTGAAATATCACATTAATATTGAGGGCAGTTGTGGTTCACTTCCATAAAAACTCTAGAAGAAACATTTATCAGGTAAGAACATGGGACTTGCACGGCTGTAAATCTTGCACATGAGGTGTCAGAATGCTGCTCCCTACAATATTCTAGGAAAGTTTCTCCTAGAGACTTGTATTACCAACACAAAAACCTGAGACTTCCAAAAGTTTAAAGTATGAGCCTACATGAACGATCCAAACTCTTAATTTTGGAGGTATGGTATGCAAATCCACACAGTTACTTTAAAAGTTCACCTAGAAACCAGAACTTCCAATTAGCAAGGTTTCAGCCGGAACTTGCCATTTCCCAAAGGCAATTTCAAATAGGCCCTCTGATAAATAAGGTGCAACTCTAAAAACTTCCCATTCCCAAGGTGCAACTCTACCTAGAACCTTCCACCCCATGATTTAAACTTAACCTAGGACCTCCCATTCCCAAGGTGCAACTCT